ATCGTAAGTTATTTCAGACACTCCCTGGTGTCTGAAAGAGTGTTTTCCATTTAATTGGCACCACTCGGCGCCTGGTCGGGAAATGTCATGCCCCTTATAATAGCGAGCTTCAGTGTAAATATTGCATCAATATCAAATCCAATTTGAGCGCGATTTAAACCCGGATGATTGTAACCACTCTAAGTCCGTCTGCCTTGGGAAAGCTAGCGTGTCTCTGACATGGTGATAACACTCGTTGCCTTCTCTAGTGCAGCTCAACCAGGTCTCGTCCCATTCGTCGGTATTTGTGATATCAGTTGTTTGTTGTAGTTTTTGAAAAGTGATTTCTGTTAGATAAAATATCTCCTTTTGAGTTGGACTTTGAGCTTTGTAACTTTGCAGATCTTTTTTATGCTCAGACAGCAACATTACACTTACTAAAGTTGAAAAAGTGAAAAAGCATAATAGGACCCCTTTAAATGTCTTAAATGTTGACGCTAGCTGGTAGCTTGATATAAAAACATGGGAAATGAACAGCGGACCGTCTGTAACTCGGATAAACTCATGACCACTTTGTTCATGACCACTCCTCTAGCCCCACTTGGCCCGCTTTGGCCCAAGGTATTCGGTGGGAGGAAAATCCCTGGCCGTTGGCCCTGAGGAAGCCCCAACGAGGCCTGATGAAGCCCCGAAAGTGACAGTGGAAACACGACTGGCCCTGGCACGGACTAGCATGCCCGCTTTTGGCCCGACAGTGGAAACGTGGCTAATGTTTTTACTGAAAATCAGGGCGGGGCTTAGCAATGGGCAAATAGTTTTGGCCTAGCAAAAACTGTGGTAAAAAAGAGAGCGAATGATAGTGTAACTCCCAGGAACTTATCTACACGAGATATTTGATTAAATTTGACTAAATCACATTACATCTACAACCAGATAATGTGTTGCTCTGTGCTGTGCCTGGTAAATGAGACTGAGCACCAAACCCCAAGTGTACTGTTCATGTTGAAACTGCACATTGGGAGTTTAGTTCATGAGGCAGGCTTTAGCGAGTCGTTTAACTGCCTGGATGACACAGCACACTGGAGCAGTTGGTCAGTAATGACAGGTACACTTAAACCCTTCTCTGATCCTTATTAACTCCCATTTTAACTGCTGACAACCTCTTTAATGTATGTCCAGCTGTCTGCCGAGATGCTAGACACAGGAGATGGTCACATCGCTTGTGGGAGTCAGTCAGATTGATGCATACAAGAAGAAATCAGATTTATAATGAAATGTGAATGAAAGGGCCCGGTTCTGTTTATTTTAAGGGTCAGATTCCTGAAGCATTTCGTTGATGACTGTAACAACGAGAGTATTGAGTGAGGGAGAGTGTTGATCTGTGCTCTTAAATGAGTCAACGGTCAAGAACCTGAGAGCAGGGTCAGCTTTTTGTTTACTTTGCATGTACATTCTTACCACGGTGACGAAAAGTCGGGAAATGTAGCTGTCTGCAGCACATTTCCTGAGAGCTTTTTCCTCTTACTTCGAGCTAAATATTGAACTAAATGGTTAATCTAATATGTACAGTCATGTGTTGGCTGTTACATTCATAAAATCATTTGGCTGGGGCTGCCTCATTTTCTTTTTAATTTCAACATTTAAGTTGATTTACATTAACAAAATTCCACAAAATTTAAGTAAACAAAACTTGCTTCATTTTAAGATGGGTGTCAGTGAATGTAATGTTAACTTTTTTAAATGTTTTAAGTTGGCATGATAATTCAACCTATCCATTTTGAAAATGCACATCATAGATCTTATTGCGAAAGATTCATCTCTGTATATGTTTAATATTAGATTTTTTTTTGCCCTTGCAATGTTTAATCAAAAAAATTATCCAATTAATGAAAGTTTCAACTCTATCATCTGGTGGAAATGGCAGACTAGACTGGTGATGTTTGCCGGATTTATGTAATTAAACCCCAGTCCTCCACAATCAACTACAAGCTCGCATTCACTTTTAAATATCTAAAATATCTAATAACAACAACCGATGCATAGAACCACTTCCCCGTCTTATTTTGTTTTCTTTTTTGATAATCCGCTAGTCAGATGTACGCCACAATATGGAATAAAGGTTTTTGTCGCTACTTATTTTTCATCACAACCTTTTGCAAGTCAGATGTTGATTCATTGACTACTCTGATTCAGTGAGTTCATTTAGTTAAGGATTTGATTCTGATCACTAAACCTGTGAATCTTTTGAACAGTTCATCAAAAGAACCTTTCAGAAGAGACATTGGCTGGTCATTTTTGAACTGCTTGTGCTGTATGTTTGTATTTACGTATTCTCTTTCTTTTTATATCACATTCTGTCCGTTCTGTATGATTTCTTTTACTGAGGGCCTGTGGTGCTGAAGATTCAGCAGCCACGGCACAAGAAACACTGTAATCCATTCTTGTAACTGCCATGTCAATGATTTGCAACGTTTTGTTATCGCTTGGTGTCAAGGTGTGGCTGAAATCGTTGCAACATAGCAAAAGCTGCTACCTGCTTAGTGTGTGAGAAAGAAATGCCTCCTGCTGAGATCTCAACATGCCCAAACACAGTCCGCGCTCAAATGCATGATCACATAGATTCTGTTCACAGACAGACTAAATGCAAAAGCTTACACACTACTGTTAGTTTGGATTCAGCAGTTGCCAATGTAGTCCGACAAGTTGGCTTGATGAATACGAGAAAGATTCCCCAGATTGTGAACATCTGCTGCTCCGTAATCCCAGCCACTGTTGACCCATAAACCTGCCCAGCTGACACTCCTACTGTAACAGGGACTACACGCTGGATAACGTCTGTGTGCTTTGAGGGTTCGGCGGGCTCTGCTCTGTGACACATGGAAAATATGATCCGGGTGTTTTTTCCTTGTTGCAGTCAACACCACCAAGTTGATCCACAGCTTAGTTTTGTTATGCTGCACTTCTAATGGACTTTTAATTTAGGGTGCTTGAGAAAGCTGTAGAAAAGAGACTTAATCCAATTTTTGCTGAAGTATGTGAACTGAGAGGCTGTAGAATTCACTTTCAAGCTTAAGACACACCTCACATGTGAGAACGTCGAAGATGTGTTCATACCAGCAGTGGGTTTTCATTGTTTTATTGTAGTGCCTAAAAATTTAGTGATTGTACATCAAAATCCCTCAATTGGCAGCCATTTTTGGCTATTTTCTTTATAAGTTATAGACATAGTAGTATAACTTGCACTACTGTTCAAAAGTGTGAAATTTATTACAATTTAAAAACTATTTTCTATTTCAATATATTTTAAAATGTTAATGTCACTCAGAAATCAATCTAATTACGCTAATTTGGTGCTCAAGACACAAATTATTATTTTTGAGGAAACTATGTAATTTATTTCAGGATATTTTGGTGAATAAAAAGTTCAGAAGAACAGCATTTATTTGAAATAGAAATATTTTATAACAATAGCCATGTTTACATGGACACTTTTTGTTTCAATCGGAATCCGAGCATAGTGTTTACATGAATAGGGCCCTATGAAATCCGTTAGATTTTTTTCCCAAATTCATTCCCCCCCCCCAAATTCATTTTTTTTCCATTTTAGTTTTTCTAGACTAGTTAAATTAAAAAAAAAATTAAATCAGGAAACTTACACAATTTAACAGCAATTTATTAAAAGTTTAACAAAAACTACATTTTTAAGGCCAGGAATTTTTTTTTTCTCAAATTCTGTTTTCCATTAATTTTCTGGATTCGATTTTAATGGTTTCATTAAATTCGAATAATCAAAAGCATCTCTAATTAATTGATTTATAAAAAAATTAATGCATTAACATTTTTCTGCTAAGTAAATTCTGGTAAATAATTTTTCTGGTAAATATTCCTTAAAAAATAATGTTTACCTTTTTTTTATTAATAATAGTAGTATCATTACAATAGGTAATTTCTGTTACAGTTTCTTCAAGTTAAACCGAACGTTTATTTTGACGTGTTGCTGTGAAGACCTTTAAGTTTCTTTTTGTATATGATCTGATGATAGTGTTTCTCAAAAGAAACTGTAAAATGCTCATGAGGTGACTCTGGATAGTTTTAGAGATTATGATTGTGTGTTCATGTACTCATATATTGAGGCGGCAGAGGCTGAAAACACAGTGAGCATTACGTGCTTCAGTATGTGTGAATTAAACAAAACTGCGTTAATATTTATCTATTTCGGGCCCTAACTTTTTGTCCAGATTACATTTCTATAATATATTTGAGGGCTGGGTGATTTATTTATTTTTTTTCCTCCTCAATTAATTGTGATCTTGAGCGATCCAATAATAATTCAGTGCCAAGGTAGAAGAAATCATACTTTGCCAGAGATTTTCTTGGGGAATCAAGAATGTACAGCACAACCAGTGTAGCCTGATTCCAGAAATGAATGACCTTTATGGGCCAGTTCTTTTGAAGAATAGTTTAAAAAGGTTAAAAATTACCGGTTTTGAATTATGAAACACTGCCCTGTATAATTTACAACATTAGAGGACAGAGAATAGTGGCAAAATTATAAATGACATTGTAACTGAAATATCCCCAAATGAAATTAAGAATTGATTCTAAATTTGAATCAAGTCGAGGGCTTATGAATCAGAATCAAATCTGGACATCTGTATTGATACCCAGCCCTAATGTATTTCATATCAGCATTAAATTCTAACAACAATGGTATCATAATTTTTGCTTCTTCAGATCCAAATAACAATTAAAAATTATTAAAAGTAGTTTTGGCAGAGCCAAGAGGAGGCCATTTGGAAGGTGCTTACCTGCCCTGCTTGGCACAGAGAGTACATTCTTTACTTAAGAACCTGTATTAAAGGCCGAAAGAATCAGTCAAGCTTAGAACGTACCAAAGAACTGGAGGGTAACAATCTGGCCGGCCCAATTCAAGTCAGGCTGTTTTTATGGTCTTTAAAAATAAATTTCACATTACAAACAGCTGTCTGCTGTATAATTTTCCCAGAAAGTCACAGGCTCGAATGGCAAAACCTAAGCGCAGTGTGTTCTGGGTACATAGACGAGTGATCACACATGTATATATGCATTAGGGCTGTCAAAAAAAAATCGAATTTCGAATATTCGTCGAATTTAAAATAAAAATCCACATTCGAATACAAAAACATTGCATTCAAATTTTAGGTGTGCGTTAAGGAGGCAGCCTTATTAGTGGCGCACGAGATGCTATGACGATGTAAAATGATGCTGTTTTGTTTATAGTTGTTTAAGCAACTTAATTAATTATAATTGGTTTATAAACATTATTTTTAAAACAATTATGCACTTTTTTCACAGATAGTCATTTTATCTTATGCTTTGAATAAACGTGCATTAGTAATATTTTGCTCGATGTGCCCTCTTGTGGCCTCAGAAGAGAAGCCAAAAGCTTTTCTTCACCCTAACTGAAATTATGCATTTTACATTAGAATATCATTTGAATTTTGATAATATTTAAGTACAAAATTCGAATTGGGAGTTTTTCAGCCATTTTGACAGCCCTAATATGCATGTATTTGTTTTTTATTTATCTACCTTTCTTTTTTTTTCAGGGCCACACCAAAATCAACACCTTCAACTGGTCTAAGATTCGGAAGCTGAGCTTCAAGAGGAAACAATTTTTAATTAAATTGCACCCAGAAGTTCATGTGGGTATCAAATTTATATTATATATTGTTAAATAATATTATTATATGTCCATTTGCAAACATGTAGACACACTGCCTCAATTTAAAAGGGACAGAATATAGTCTAATATGACAACAAGGACACAATTTCATATGAGAGAAGACTCAAGTCAGAATGTCAATACATACCTCCACCAAAATACACAATTTTGAAGAAATACAATGCTGTGAAATCAGCCTGTGGACTCCCGGGACATACAGATTCAAGTGTAGAAGTAATGTGTTCAAGCTCAGGAGCTTGGTTGGATGGGGCCATCTCTTACCCCATGTAAGCATTTTAAATGTATTCAGAGTAATGTTTGTTATTCTGTCGGGATCAATTACATGGGGTGCTAAGAATCTGAACCATATGTTTCCTCTTGTTGCCCTTCATCTGAGATGGAAGTTCTCAAGTTCAGTCTTTTCTCAGTGAATGATCAACCTTTCGTTCCACAGGGTCCTCATCAGGATACGCTGGAATTTCTAATGGGCAGTCGAGATCAGTGTAAGATCTTCTGGAAGAACTGTGTGGAATATCACTCATTTTTCCGTCTGTTAGATCAGCCTCAGCCCAAATCCAAAGCCATCTTCTTCAGCAGAGGATCCTCCTTCAGATACAGGTGCACTACTGTGATTATATTGACGTGGGTTGGTAATATACTATTAAACATGTTCCAGAAGAAATGTTCAAATATTGTTTCTGTTGTGGTTATGCTAGTGTTTCCTGCACTGCTTATTAATGCTGGTTCATGTCTTTCTATTCAATTGTCCTTATGAGTTCCAAGCAAAACAAACATACAGCTCAACCAGTGTAGCAGAGTTACTAGTTAAATCAGCCAGAAGAAACCTTCTGAATGAACTGACTAAAGGCCCCGATATACTTCAAACGAAATCAAAGAACGAACTGATGTGACGTCATTTCGAACAAAATCCGTGGCAGGGGAGAACGTGGTCGCCTGTTTTATTGTTGGTTTCCTCTTTTCTGATCATTTGGAATGAGGATAAAAAAAATTTTTTTTAAAAACATGCAAATAAGTTCAAACATCAATTCAATATCTACTATTTCCTGAATATTATGAAATTCAAGATGGCCGCCTCTGATGACATCATAATATGCCAATTAGACGAGTATATTTACACCCCACATAAACTTTCGGTCATGCCCAACATTTTTCTAATTTACAGTAGATCTCTATCTTTAAGCCCTTTCAAGCCACAGGCTTTTGAAATCTTGATGTCAGAATCCAGCATTTTTCCCAAAAATCCCTGGCGCCTAAAGGGTTAACACAGAACTCTTCTCTGGGTTCATTTCGTCTGTTGAGTCCTTGGAGGTGAGATGTCCGCGGGTAAAAACGGAACACAGTGAAGAGTCGCTTTATAGTAGCAAATTAAGTTTAGCTTTTGATGAAATGAGTCACTGACACTGTTTTTCATGTTTAATACTGCTGCTTGCTTTTAATCATTGTATTGAATAAAGTGCCTTGTAAATACATGTGACGTGACTTCACGGGAGTGCTAATTTGCAGACCTCATGCAAGCATACCCATGTTGCTTTTTAAAAAAAAATGCTTGCTGTTCTATCCATTTTTGTTGTATTTATTTTGTTACTGAGAGGAAAGCGTGCAGCACAGATTTACATATTCATATAAACGTTGCTATTCAGAGTGGGCGGCGTCGGGATGTTCGATAACAGTATACAGCTACTCACTCATTTCGAAACTTCATTTTACCCATAAACGAACAATGAAAAAGAACTTCGTTTTGAGTATATCGGGGCCTTAAATCTATTTTACTTAAAAGGTATTGTGGGTTCTCATAACTTTCAGTGTTGTTTGTCAGAAAATGAGTTTTTCAGTACCAATGGTTCACAGTTACTATCAGTGCAATTACAGTAAAATACAATTGAGTAATATCTGGAACTCTGAACATTAGGTAATAAGTAACTAAAAGTAACTGTGGGCAGTCGTGGCCTAATGGTTAGAGACAGAGAGTCAGACTTGTAACCCGAAGGTTGCAGGTTCGAGTCTCAGGTCAGGCAGGAATTGTCGGTGGGGGGAGTGAATAACCAGCACTCTCTTCCACCCTCAATACCACGACTGAGATGAGACCCTTGAGCAAGGCACCGAACCCCCGACTGCTCCCCGGGGGCACCGCAGCAATATGGCTGCTCACTGCTCCGGGTGTGTGTTCACGGTGTGTGTGTGTTCACTACTGTGTGTGTGCACTTGGATGGTTTAAATGCAAAGCACAAATTTCACCATACTTGGCCACACGTCACTTCTCTTCAAAACGGTTTTCAGTATTCCATAAACACTATCCAAAATGTGACCTTTTTTATTTAAAAAAATATATATTTTTAAAATTATTTATTGATTAAGTTGCATTGCACTGTACATTACTGTTCAAATATAAGATTTTGTCATTGTGTTTGGAAGTTGGTTTGGAAGGTTTTTTTTAGTGGTTTTAGTATTTAATGTATTTAGGTTTTTTTTTTTTTTGGTAATCATTTTTCCATATATTGTGAGGTATGCTATCAATCAAAAGTTTGGGTCAGTAAGATATTTTTTTTAATTAATAGATTTTTTTAAAATAAATTAACACAACACATTAAATTGATTGATAGTGACGGTAAAAAAAAGTATAATGTTACTAAAAATTTATATTTCAAATAAATGCTTTTCTTTTGAACATTCTGTTAATCAAAAAAATGTATCACGGTTTCCACATATATAATCTGTATTAGCGGCATAACTGTTTTCAACATTGTTAATAATAAGAAGAAATGTTCTTGAAAATTCAGCTTTGTTCACAGGACAAAATAGCATTTTAAATTAATATTATATATAAATAGAAAAGTTATTTATTTTAAGTGTAGTAATGTTTCACAACATTACAGTTTTTACTGTATTTTTGATCAAATAAATGCAGCCTTGGTGAGCATAAGAGGCTTCTTTCAAAAACATTCAAACATCTTACCAACCCCATACTTTTGAACAGTAGTGTATATCACAGATTTTTGTTTTTTTTGTTTTTTAAGAATAATGTGATTACAAGTTGGTGCTTTTACCACCCATCTGTACTTTTAGGTAAAAAAAAAAAAAGTGTTTGACTTGGTTTGTTAAAACGCATTGTGTATATGTGACAGTGGGCGGACACAGAAGCAGCTTGTTGAGTATGTGAGGGACAGCGGCTTGAGAAGAACTCCTTACCAGAGGTAAATATTTATTTCATAGTTTCACCTGAAAGCAGTTTTATACTGTATACTGGACCATCCTTCATAAGCCCATTTGTTGTGGTGCTTCGCTCTATATGTTGTTCGTGTTTGCACTGATATGCTGTTTTTACAGGAGGAACAGTAAGGTTCGCATGTCGACACGTTCCTTGGCTTCTGATGTGCCAAAACAGGTAAGTAGAGTCTTAGATCAGGGACAGCCAATGCCAATATCAACATGAAGAACAATAACCTCTGACTTTGTTTTCATCCACTCTCTTTACCTTACCCATCCATTTCAGAATCTGTTTTTTAATGACAGTCTAAGGTTTCCAGTACCTCCTTCCTCTGTCACCGCCTCCTTCCACTCCCTGCATGCTCCCAGCTCGCCCATGCGGACGGAGACCCCGAACCAGCCCGTGCATCTCCAGCAGACTCAGCAGCCCGCCAGAGCCCCCAGCCCAATGCAGCAGGACTCCATCAAGACCAACTCCCAATCCACCTACGCCTTCCCAGGTGCCACTCATATCCAGGCAGCAGGAGACTGCAGCCCCTCGTTTGTGTGTGTAGAGAGTAGTTCCTTTAGTGCACGGCCCTCCCAAAATGGCAATGAGGATAGCGAGCGAGTAGGGGTTGGTGGCGTAAGCAGTAGGGCAAAAACAGGCTTTCTCACACCTGAAGCGTTTGAGGCAGAGTTAATGCGTGTTCGACAAATGTCGTACCAGATCCCAATGTCCTGCACACAGTTGCATGTTAGCGAAGAGTACATCGATGACGATCCGGCTGAAATTTCATTTTACGCTGGGGGTGCGGAGGCCTACTATTATGGGTTTGACGAAGAGAGTCCTGAAAGGTTCGAATATGGCCATAGAATCTCTGTTCAGCCCGCTGCGTACGCTCTCGGTCTCGAGGACCTCAACGGCAATGCTAACACGTTCCCTGAAAGTGCTTTTGGCCGATCTGAGACCAGTTCTCTGGTCAACAACCGCTCCGAGTGTAGCTCGCTGGATAACCTTCCACTAGGTTCTGTCGGCGACTCGCTCTCACTCGGTTTTGGAGGTCCCGACTCCTCATCCTCCTTGCGTCTGCCTGGTTCTGAGAACCTTTCTGAGGCCAGCTCGATGGTTAACTTCCCTGCGTATTCAGTGCGTTCGGAAGACAGTTCGGCCATGCAGTTCAATGATCTAGTGGAGCAGCTGGAGCAGCTCAGCTATCCGCCCACAGCCACAGAGGGCTCAGCTGATGGCAGCTCTGATTCTGACTCCGACTGGGGGTCGGATGGAGGTCTGCCTCCAGATCAAAACCTCCTCTTTAGCAGTCCACTAGTGAGTGGGGCAGATTTAGACAACTTCCTGCTGGAATGCCAAAATTTCAGGGCTCTAGGCATTGGGGAGCCCCCACCAGACCCCACCCATCTTAAAATGTAGCGTGACCCCCATTAAACTCCAGCAGTTATCGTTGATTTTTAATGCAAAACATGACCAAGCACTTAATTATCCACCTTATCCTGATATAATCAGTACTTAAAGTTTTGGCACTTCCTGTTAGCGCTTTAATCTACCACTTTTTTTCTTACATGCCCTTTCCAGTGTACTTCCTCTATCTCTCTCTTTGGTGTTAATTCATTCTGTTTTTTTTTTATTGTTTTTGAATCATGTGCTGTGAGTTTTTGTAGGACAGTAAGATTCATTAGCATTTTTAAGATTATATAGTTCAATCATTTATTATACGTTTACATTTAATCTTAGTAGTCTGGATGGCTACAAACTAAAGTTACGCTGTGACTTTTGAAGAGGAAAATTAAATGGCTGTATCACCTAGAAATTATATCTACATATTTTCTCATTTATAAGCATTTGGATCTTTGAAAAAACAAACAAAAAAATTATTGCATTTCTAGATTCGTCCATATTAGGGCTGCATGGCATGCAGGAGAAATGTGATCATGGCTGCATGCATTACATATAAGATTATGGCACAAATCAATTTATTTTTTGTATTTAATTTTTTTAGTAGATTTAAATCCAGGAAATGATGAAACATCTGGTATGCCTGGCTCTTGTTTTCCTGGGTAAAGAAAACATCCCTCAAACTTCTCAAAGTCTTGCAATTCTTGTCCCTATAAATTTTTTGACCTTACGTGTGAGTTCAACATTGTGAGTTCAACATTGATTTTCATAGCAAACATTCGTTCAACAGCTGAATTAAATTGTCTGAAAATGAATAAGGAGAAAATATAGATTACTAAGATAAGCTTTACATGCATGTATGAAGGTACTTTTAAATCAGGATAACTGCATGAGTATTTTCCATTAATGAACCACTCTACTCAGGGCTGTGATTTAATTAGCAGTGGACCTGACAGCCATTGCTGCTAAGAGCAAATTTGAGCCGAAGTTATTTTTGTTTTTGTTACTTTAGAGTTAGTCACTCCACTCTGCCCCCTGCTGTTTACATTTCAGAAATGTTTTGCATCTCAGCTCTTCCGATTGGACTATATGGCTGCATTTACACTGACAGTCACTGACACAGATCGGACATTGTTGCATGTGTGTATGTCAAAACACTTTTTTGGCATTGAATTTAAGCCATTTGCAAATTTCACTTTCAAATTTGCCTTTTGACTCTCTAGTTAAGTCTTAAGATTATTGGATCTGTGCATGTTGCTTTGCAGTGTGAGCCTATGAGTCCTTTTTTTTTTTTTTTGTAGACTATTTTAGCTATTAACCCATGGTC